CAGAACATGCAGAGTCCTCAACATAATAAGAGACAAGCCCCTAACATACCCGTATCACTAGACATAAAATGAAACCCAACAATATCTACTCGTTTCCTTGTCTTCTTTTCTAAGCAACCTAACAGAATTTAAAAGAGAAATAGAGTGAAAGTAACAATGGTTTTTAGAGATACCATAGAAGGTGCTTGATCTGGAATTGCAGCTCCTGCTTTGAGAAGCTTCGAGCCAGCATCGACCACCACTGCCTCCATTAGTTTTAAGGAACACCACAAAACCTACTTCATATATATGAAATAAACACCTTTTAACAAGTGAATGACACCGAATTTCTCTACAGCTGAAAAAAAAAAAAAAAAAACAAAGACTAGTCCATGTACATTAACTAGGTTTCAACCAGATTGAGAAAAGCGGAAAAAAATTCAAGTAAGTTTCGCGAAACAATAAAATTAGGGAAATCAAATATACCTACTTCCAAGAGTATAAAAGAAATGCGAGAACAAAAGTACCTGGAGGTGAAGGAAATAAGGCCAGGATCCTTACCAGCAGCTTCAGCCAACAGCCGGTGTGTCAGGGGCCACGTCTAACCGGAAACGACGCCTGAAACGACGGGGAAATTTCAGGAATTCCGATCTTGTGCCCTGCCGTCGAGCTCGCGGTAAAACGCAAGGAAAACTCCGCCTCACGCAGCCTACTGCTTCCGAGGCAGGGCCACCACCTGAAGAGGAGGTTGTGCTACCTGCTCACCGGAATCCTCCCCGCCAGCTGAGCGGTCTACTTCTTCTCTCTCTTGCTTCGTCTCCTTGTCTCCTTTCCTGTTCTTTCAGTCGATTTCCCACTCATTTACTTTTCGGCTTAATTTCAAAAATTGTCCTCCGTTTCTTTAAATTTCTGTAAAATGGTCCCAGAATTTTCAATTTTTTACTAAAGATTTATATATTTTAATAATTATTTACAAATGCACCCCAACCACAATCTCTAATAAAAAGAGAGAGAGAGAAAATAATGAAATTTTTTAAATCTAAAAATTAGGAATTTCACTTTTTATTTTGATAAAATTAATCATCTCACTAAAAAACACTAATTAATTTGTTATAAATGTGTTAAATTATTTAAAATATAATAATTTAATAATCACAAATATTTTATAAATTTTCAAACAATTTAATCTACCTATAACTGTTTGACTCAACTAAGCTTTACGATAAATTAGATTATTCTCACCTTATTAATTATTGATTCTTTAATTTTATCGTGTTAACTCAATTATAACAAGTTGTGAGTTCTGGTTAAAAAAAGTACGACAATGATCGATCTTGTTCAATAAAATTATAACTTAAAGGAAGCTCAGAGGTTGGGTTCTTCACCATTTTTATGCAAATACGAGTAAAAAAAGTATTCTTTTTCTAATTTACTTAAAATGTTGATTCAATCTAGTTGTATCATGTTATATAAGTACTGTAATGTTTCATTCATATAAGATAGCAAAGATAATTATTTTTGTACTCATTAGCCTAAGTATCACTCATGCAATAATTTTTTTGGATAATCATCGATGCTCGAGAACTAAAATTTAAACTTAGTAATATATAAGTGTTCAGATTGCATAAATTTGAAGTTATCAAACTGAGACGTGTTTTAATATTATTTATAATATCTCAATTATAAAAGATAATAAAGATAATCATTCCAAGTATCACTCATACAATAATTTTTGTGGATTCGAATCACTGGTGTTTAAAAATTAAGAGTTAAATTATTAAAACGTATAAGCACTCATATTGCATTTGTTTGAACTTACTAATTTGACATATGTTATAATACCATTTCTAATATCTCAATCGCTGGCAG